TAAATTCCTTTTTATTATTTATTTTATGTATTTATTACTGTTGTATACATGTATGGTGTGCTTAAAGAGACATCCACAAGCCATAGCACATTGTGGAGGTCAGAGAACAAATTGTTGGAGTCAGTTCTTTCCTTGTGCCTTGGGGAATAGGGACAGAGCTCAGGTCATCAGGCCTGGGCTACATGTGCCTTTTGCCCAGTGAGCTGCTACCTTGTCAGTCCTCAGCCAAATTCTTTAACTCTGAATATGAAGACAGGCCAGAATATGGCCCTGTCTTCATCAACAGCTTCTGTCATTAATACTTTTCAGTGAAAATCTGTTTCTGAATCTAAGTACCCATCCTTTTTCTTATGCCGTTCACTTTCCACATACAAACTCAAAGCCAGTTCATCCCACTTGTCACACACTTTGGCTGTGACATTTACAGCTCTAGCGGTGTCAACAAATCTAGAAAAGGAATTTTTAGCCTCTGTCTCAGCAACCTCGGCACACAATCTTTTTCTTAGTTCAGGATTCTTCACCATAGGGTGAGAGAAATGGCCCAGTGGTTAAGAGCACAGCCAGAGTGCTTCCAGAGTGCCTGGGCTGGGTTTCCAGAACTCACACAGAGGCTCTGATAGGATGCCACTCCATCCTAGGGGATCTGATGCCATGGTTTGGTCTCTGTGGGCACCATGCATGGAAGTGGTGTACAGACAAACATACAGGCAAAACACACGTGTGCATAAAATAAAACTGAATTTTTTTCACCTTTTTGTATTTAAAAATAATGGGATAGATGTATAGTCAGTGGACTATTGCCTTTAGACTCCACCCTCAGTACTAAATATCTAAATCCTTGCCTAAGAATTTTCATACAGCTAAAACTAGAAATAGGATCGTAAGAAGAAAAAAAATAGAGAAATTGGAGAGAGGGCAAGGATAATCAAATGCATGTGCCCTGAACACAGAGATGGTGACTGGAGGAAAGAAAGGAGTGAGCAGTTCTTTCCTTCCACCTTCGGATCAGACCATCCAAGTTACAGGGTTTGGGGTGGGGCATAAAGAAGGGAGTGGGGTGGGGCAACAAAAACAAAAAATATGAAAACCAGTATCGTGTATGTTAATTAAAATAATAATTTTTAAAGTGGAAGAAGTCTCACCAGAGTCTGAAGGCTCCCACCTTTAATCTCTCTGAGTTGAAGGCCAGCCTGGTCTACAAAGAGAGTTCTAGAACAGCCAGGGCTACACAGAGAACCCCTGGTTGGGGGGGGGGGGGCAAAAAAGGCATAGGTCTGGTAAGGTTAGGCAGTTTGGCTCCCGCCTATAATTTCAGCACCTAGAGCAGTTAGGAGGTTGAGACAGAAGGATTGTTTGAGTTCCTGGACAGGCTGACACCTGCGTGCCTGCATCACTGCATCCTTTTTAAATAAGAAAAATATTCTCGGACAATCTGTAACTCCAGCACTCAGAAGGCTTAGAAGGATCTCCCCAAGTGGAGGCCTGGCTCTACATAGTGAGTTTCAGGCCAGCGTGGGCCGGAGAGTGAGATCCTGACTCAAAAAAAAAAAAAGTTTGTTCATATACTACCTTTCTTTCGAAAGGATCCAGCATGAGTAAAGTCAGAAGGGATCACTGAAAACGTAAAGGAGGAAAACAAAGATTATCATATAAATCTGGATGTGAATACACGGAGTTCGCAGCAAAGAAAATGGGCTGCGGAAACAGCCCGAGGCTTCAACAGCCCAGCGAAGTTGATAATAATTCTTGCCCAGGGTACTGCGAAGGACCACCGCCCTCGGGACTAAGCGACTTACTAGTGGAGACTGTACTGTTCTCACCCACCTTCTACAGCATCGCTTGAACCAGAGGCGGCTGGCAGCGTTTTAAAAAAAATCTTGGGTTCAGGGAGCTTCCTCTGAGTTGAGCTCAAGTTTGTGGAAGAAACCAAGAATCTCAAGCTCCTCAGGTGCAAAATCAAAACCAAAAGGGCGGGGGCTCTTTTGCTTTCTTTCCTTTTCTTCTTAATAAACCGGCGGCAGAGTACGTGTAAAGAAATATTTAATGCCTCACAAAATGCTTATAGTAAGGGACCCTTCCATTGGTTTCTCGCACTTGGGGAGCGAGGTTATGGACTCCTTATGGCTGCTTTGTAGACGCTAGCTCCGAAGGCCCACTGAACAGTTTCTGGGTTTTTCTCCAAAGGCCTGCCTCCCTCACCAGCACTCTTTTTCCTTTCCCTCCCTCCCCTTTTCTGGGACCCTTTGCCTGTTTTCTCCCTCCACAGGTCTCCTAAGGAGAAAATCTCCAAGGTTTTCTCTGGGAAAGCACCTTGGCGTTTTTTAACCAAAGGGCTGCAGGCTCCGGAGTCCTCCGCGGCGGCGGTGCTTTAACTATCTTGTGAAAGGTTTCGTATAGACAAGAAAAATTTTCATTTCTGGGTGTGTAACTTGAAGTCAAAACGATCTGATTTTTTAAAATATAATTTAAGGAATGTGAAGTTGGGAATTAGAAGAGTTTCTTTTTTTTTTCTTTTTAAAAGACGATCCCACGAAGCACGGGCGTTGAACCCAATATTTAGCTGAGGATGGTCTATCCTCCCTCTGCCTCTCAAATACTGGAATTACAGACATTCACTACCACACCACACCAGACGTATTCAGAAGACTCGTGAATTAACCTCTTCAGATTCAATTATCTAAATGCCTGGGGAAGTTTATAGATAAATTTCATTTGTGTATAAAATCTATAAAGTGTAATAAATATATTTGGCCTTTTTAAAAAGGAATTTTTAGCTAAAAGATATATTTTAGGGATTTTTGTCTAGCATATGAGAATTGTTCGCTGGGACCATTATTTAGTATAGTAAGGATTACTTTACCATAAGCACTGAATTATCACAACAATCTAATAAAGCAAATACTACTCATTCTGTAGGCAGGTAGCTTACAGGGACATGTTCCACAAGAGGATAATTTTCCTCCCAGGACTGGTGGCCAGCAGCAGTGCAAAGTGTCCTCTCAATACCCTGAGTAACACAGATCCGGAGCTGTTTTAGAAATTTCAACAGGATGTGTCCCTGCTGGAGATGACCAAAGATAACTAAAGTCAAGGAAATGGACATGGGGTGCACTCAGAGCCTGCCCTATTAATTTCTCACCTAGTTTCTGTGCAAAATGAAGCCTTAGCTCAAAAACTCAGAACAATGGATCCCAAAACTCCCATTCGGAGTGAATCCGATAAAGCTCTGGTACGAAAGGAAGGGGGCCTAGACCGAAGCAGAGCCTCATATCAAGATTTGATCCCCCCCAATTCTCTCTCTCTCTCTCTCTCTCTCTCTCTCTCTCTCTCTCTCTCTCTCTAACATCCTTATTTACAGCTTGAATTAAGGCATAAGTTATTAAGTGAAGATTTTTGTAGTGAAATTTCAAAGTTCCCTGGCCTCCTGTGAAAGAAGGGCTCTTGTTTGTGTTTAAGAAAAAAAAAAGTGAGAATGCTAATAAAAGTGACTGTTAAACGAAGGGTGAATCGTGCCGGTGCCAAACACGGGGACCACAATTATACAGTATTTTAATATTAGGATTATTAACACGCCTCGAAGCACTTGCGCACATCTTTTGGAAAATTATACAGCCCTTTAAAATTTGACGTGCAATTTTCTAGACGGGGTGTGGGGGGGGGGCAAAATAGTCCCAGAAAGGGGGAGGGGAAGAGGCGGGAAGCGCGAAGGGAGAAGCGCGGCTTTCTCGCCCCTCGAAAGTTTTCATACTCCGGAATCGGAATTAGACGCGGTTTTGGTGTAAGGAAAACACAGAGCAAGTTGGAAACTACAATTATAAGTATTTAAATATTAAGGATATTAACACACCTCGAAGTACTTGCACACATCTTTTGTAATTATATAGAGCTTTAAAATTGACTCGCCATTTCCCGGGGTGGGGGGGGTGGCAAAATAGTCCCAGAAAGGGGGAGGGGAAGAGGCGGGAAGCGCGAAGAGAGAAGCGCGGCTTTCTCGCCCCTCGAAAGTTTCCATACTCCGGAATTAGAATTAGGTATGCTTTCAGTGTAAGCGAAAAAACAGAACAAGTTTCTGCAATGCATCCTGAACTAAGAGAGAGCAACTTGGCTCCGCAAAGAATGGGAACCAAAGAATGGGTTCCGCTATCATTCGTTGGCGCACTAAGCTTTTGGCAGATTTCTTTATGCAGTCTGGCGCCGGTTCATTCCTAAAAACTACAAAGCTCTGGAAACATTAGAACAGGCGAATAGGGTTTTTTGACGCGCACCGCCACCACCCCGGAATTCACTGCAAGCTCCTCTGCAGAGCAAACTTGCTATGCTCAGGGAAAGCTTCGTGAACTCCAATTTTAGATCCATCTCAAACAGGCTTTTTCCTAAATATAGGTCCAATTCACCGACTCTAGGTGAGAGCAGTATGAAATGAAAAGTCCTAGTCCTTAGTCGCCGAGCCCCTGGAAAGAAGGGTCGGTCGAGCCGAGTGCCCAAAGCCAGAAAACGGACGCATTTTGTTAGAATGCCTGTTCGCAATTCCTATGTCAAAGTCTTTTCCTTGTGGGAGGTAATCACCAAGGGGGCAGTGCATGTTTCAGAACATTGAAAATATAGTTTGGAACATTGGGTAAATACTTCGGGTGTTACGAGCTGATGCGAGCTCGGAGATGCGAGCTCGTAGCCATTAAAATGGTATTCACAACCCTGGCCAACCCTTTCCTGCAGCTGGGGCACCCCTATGGAGTTAGTTAACCGCAAATAGAAACCGATCTCCGCGCGGAGTAAGCTCAGTGTCTGACCGGAACTAAGAAAAAATGCGCGCCTAGTTACCAGCGCACCCCCTGCAGGTCCCACCCACTCCTAATAGACGTACTCTGTATCTTACGGGAGCTGTCGAGTAGAAGCACACCACCACGTAAAATAAGATCCCTACGCGCCGCCACTCTATAAAAGGGGCGTCGCTCCTGGAGGAGCGCCACTCCGCTTCAGGAAAAGCTGCAGGCACCACCTCCAGCTTAGGTCTCCGCAGTGTCTCAGACGCCGGCAATTCAACCCGCTCGCCGCTCTCCAGCCATGGACTCTCACGGCAAGTGTGGCTGCGACTTCTGCACTAACTTCAACAACTCCGGAGGACCAGAGAAGGAAGAATCATTTCAAGGTCAGTCCTTCTCGCTAGCTTTCTCGCGCGCGCAAACGGACGAGCTCCGAGCAGCGCCGTGAAGCTCGACGACCTTCGAGATCGCCTGGGCTCCTCACTCGTCTTGCCCTAGCACCCCGGGCTTCAACGTCCCGGTTTTTCTTTTCTGCTTTCTTTCTTCTCCAGATCCACAGCCTAGCTTGAGTTCACCAATTTTGGCGGGCGCAGACTACGGGGGAAATAGAGAATTCGATGCAAGTGCCTCCTCCAGTTTTGGAGCTGGCCAGAAGGAGGAAGACTTCTGCCACGACCTGGGTAGATAACACCTAGGGCGAACTTAATTCGGGCTCAGCCCAGGTTCTGGGAGGTGCGCGCCGCGCAGGGGTGGGAATCTGGAGTCGCGGTAGGGAGGCGCGCGACTGGTGCAGTCACCGCCGCCCTCTAGGGAGAGCCCTTAGCCTTCCCTTTCCCGTGCGCCTGTGGCTTGAGCGCGAACGCTACGGTCTGTTTGTTTGTGCTTTTCCCCCACCCAGACTCTCAGAACATCTTTGCCTCGACGTTTCTGGACGAAACAAACTACCAGGAAAACGAGGGATTCAAACCGGCTAGTGAAGAACCAACCCTCCCTTTTGTCGAAACACCGCCAGCCTGGGAGGAGTTCGAAGCCCTTGATTTTGAAGACGGCTTCCTGGAGGCCAACTCTCAGCTGGAGGAGGAGGCTGCTGCCCCCGAGCCGCAGCCCCAGCTGCAACCCTTGCAGCTGAAGCCCGCGATGCAAGCGCTGCAAAAGCCCGTGCCGCTGCCCGTGCCGCAGGCCCCGCTGCCCGTGCCGCAGGCCCCGCTGCCCGTGCCGCAGGCCCCGCTGCTGGCCGCGCAGCAGCCCCCGCCGCAGGCGGCGCCGCAGCCCCCGCCGCAGGCCCCGCTGCAGCCCCCGCCGCAGCCCCCGCCGCAGCCCCCGCTGCAGCCCCCGCCGCAGCCCCCGCCGCAGCCCCCACCTCAACCAAGGCGCCGCCGCTACCGCATCACCTTCACTGAGCTTCAGCTGCGGGAGCTGGAGGCCTCCTTCCAGCGTGTCCAGTACCCCGATGTGTTTGCTAGGTGAGCAGTTGTTTTTCTTCTTTGGCGCCCATTTCGCTGGCGGGCTTTGGGGGTTGCTGGGTTGTAGCTTTCTGAAGGCGAGAATCGGCTAGGGAGCGCCAGAGCCTGGGGTCCATCTTTCCCCGGGGGCAAAGCTAGAGCACACGAGCAGGAATTGGTGCGGGGGCGTTAATGGGGGGGTGGGGAGACGGAGCGACAGGTTGGGGGTGAATGGGGCGGGGGGAGGCGGGGCGACGGATGGGGGCGGCGAAGCGAAGGAATGGGGGGCGGGGGAGGGGCCAGAGCGAGGGGGGGTAACGGAGCGACGGGTGGGGGCGGCGGGGCGGGGCAAGGGGGCGGCCGAAGAGGGCTGGGAAGAAAGGGCCGTGGCTGCGGGGGCGGGCTTGGGATGCGATGAGCGAGGAGGTCGCTGCTCTGCCAACCTGGAACTTGCTTTACTTAAAATGTTAATAGTCTGTAATCATAAATTTCGAGTTTTTGTTTCGTACAGTTTGGCATTTTTAAAATATTATAGTAAAAAGTGACTTTACACATTTAGTGAACTTTAAAACCCTTTGATTTTGCGCGTGAGATGAGCGCCACGGAGGACCCCAGTAGGGCGTGGCGGCTACGTCTGCCGCTTTTCTCCCACCTAGCCCTGCAAAGCGCTGAAACTTCTAATTGCGCTGTGGTCCTGACGCTGTAGGGGGAAAGCCCATTCATTTTAGCCCGGGTGAAATGAGGGACGGGGTCGGTTGGTGTATGTAATGAAGACAGAGTCTGCTCTGACTTTGCGGCACTCAGTCTTCAGATTAGAAACAGAAAAAAAAATAATTTCCACTGGGCACACTAAATAGTTTTGTATTTCCTTCTTTGAGAGTTTACCTATCCCTCTTAGAATAAACAGAAATATTCAGACCCAAAGGACCATTTGGGGGTTAGGAATTTAGCTCAGTGTTAGAGTTCTTACCCAGAAAGCCCAAAGTCCTGAGTTGAGTCCCGAGCAGCAAGACCAGGGTGGCAGGTGGACGTAGCACTTTATGGGTAACTTGGCAGTTTGGTTTTTGTACAGAACAACCTCTCAAGAAAAATGTTTTGAGGGGTGTTCTCTACTGTTTCGCAAACAGAAAAAAAAGGCCATATTTAGTTAAGTAACAGACACTTTCACATATATTCATTTTTTAAATTTTCAATTGAAGAGATAACTTGTGACTAGGAAGCCACTCCCTAAATCAAGTCTCTGCTATTATAGAAAACTGCACTGGGAGGTGAGGTTAGATTTAATGTACATCCATATCTTTCTTTTTAGCCACAACTCCAATACTAAACATTATTTATTTTCTCTCATCAGAATGGAACTTGCCCAACGCCTGGGTTTGCCTGAATCCAGAGTGCAGGTTAGTAAATTTTGGAAAAGCAATCGGGTACGACAGGTATTCTAAAACACATTGTAGGTAATGTTTTGTGCTGGGAATTCTCAAGTTGATGTGTTTCTTTGGTCTTTTCTCCTTTTTTGGCTAATGAATTTTATATTTGAACATAATTGGTCACATGGCCAAGGGATCCAGAAATGATACTGAAGGAAGCATCTGGTTATTTGGATTTTCAAACGGCAAAGACAATTTCTTACATGTAAGGTCTTGTTTTCCTTTTTGGTGTTTTTTATTTTAACCTACGTTTCCTGGGATCTGAAAGTGCTCTCTTCTTCTCTGTGTTAATGTAAAATACCTTTTCCGTTTATTTAGGCATGTGTGGTGGAAATAGCTGTGTATCTGTTGGTGAGACATACAGAAAATCACCCCCGCCAAAGCAGGCCACTGAGTTCGAGCATCTTGATGCCACAGGCTACTCCCTTAGGCAGCCCTAGCTCAGCTTGAGAGGTCAACAAAGCAGATTCTGAGGAAAAGGAAAACTTAAGTTTTTCTGAGTGACACTTTACACACACACACACACACACACATGCACGCATGTGCACGCAAGTAACACACCTCTGTCCAAGGCTCGGAAAATAGTTAAAACAGCATTAAAGGGGGAAAAGAGAAATACAACAATATTTCAAACTCTACACCAGGTTTAGCACAGTAGTTCTAATTTTAGCGGCCTGTAGGGTTTTTCCTATTATGACATTAGTTGTCCAATATCCTAAATAATTTTTCCCCTTCTAATTGTAGATTTGGTTCCAGAACAGAAGGACCAAGTGGAGACAACTTCAGCGGGCACATTTTTGCAGGAGCATGTTTCCAGTTGCCATGAGTACCCCCGTGGGTCTATACATGGATGATCGTTATGGCCCCATCCCTATCGTGGAGGTTATTTGGAAATATCAACCTGTGGCACCCCAGCCAATCCATCCTCACATGCTGCCTTTCCTACCCCTGGGTCCCCCACCATTCATGCCTATGCCACCAAGGGGACGCCATCCACGTCCATTTCCCTGGCCACCTGGTCCACTTCATGCTCCTAATGTTCCCAATGCTCCCAATGCTCAAAATGCTCCTAATGCTCAAATGCTCAATGCAGGTATGGGATATGTCCCCAACCCCAATGGCCAGTTCTAAGGTCCTGAAAACTGAAGTCTCCATCAGTTTTCCCAAAGTGTTTTCCAATAAGATTCCAATAAGATTTTCCCAATAAGTGTATTCCATTAAGTGTTTTCCAATAAGATTCCGATAAGTATTTTCCAATAAGTGTTTCCAATAAGTGTATTCCAGTAAGATTTCCAGTAAGATTCATGCTGTTCATAGACATTGTTGAAAGTTACTTATAAAATACCTGTTAAGGGCTGGAGAGATGGCTCAGAGGTTAAGAGCACTGGCTGCTCTTCCAGAAATCCTGAGTTCAACTCCCGGCAACCACATGGTGGCTCACAACCATCTGTACTGAGATCTGGCACCCTGCTCTGGCGTGCAGGCATACATCGAGGCAAAATGTTTAATACATAAAAAATAAATCTTAAAAAAATACCTGTTAAATGAAATTGTGTGCATATATTCTCTATGTAAAGTTATGAGTTCAATAAAAGTTTGGTTTAGCAGCATATTGGCTTTGAGGATCATCCTGGGTTAAGGGCATGGGTGGAAATTGCTAAGGGAATGAAATTTTAACAGAATATTGCAGAGGCTTCCTTTTATAAGCTAGTATCCCTAGGTTACTCTCAATAGGATTTGTTCATCACAAAATTGTCCAAGAGCCCAAAGCGAGTATACATAGAGTAACACACGGTCTCTGCACACCTCACCCTCTCCATTACTATTTTGCCCAGGTGAAAGAGCGCATGCACGTGCCAGATGATTTGGGAGGTGTTTCTGGAATGGAAGCAGTCATTTCTAAGCAGGGAGGTCTTGGGGGGGGGGGGTAACAGCCAGTCACCTGACCAATGCCCTAATTTTCTAAATCAGTGTTTTCTCATTTGTGGAGGGTATCAGGATTGTAGTCATTCTGGCCCTATAGCTCTGCTGTTTGAGAGAAATGAGAGTTAGCTCATCAAGAATGGAAAGGGAGGGGGCGGAGAGACATCTCATGAGGTGAAAGTGCTTGAGATGCAGGCCTGACTAAGTGAATTCGATCCCTGGATCCCAGGAACTTGCAGTGGAGAGAAAGAAGTGACTCACCAGATTTGTCCTCTGTACTTCACACATGCGCTGTGGCCGATGCATTCCAGAACTCAAGGCACATCACACATGCATAAATAAACGTTTATAATATTAAAAAAAAAAGACCATAGGCTGGGAGTGGTGGCTTGTGGCCTTCAATTCCAGTCTCCTGGAAAGTAGAATCAGGCAGTTCTCTGATTTCGAGGCCAGCTTAGTCTATAAAGTAAGTTTCAGGCCAGTTAGTGATACATAGGCAGACCATGAATTTTTTTTTTTTTTTTTTTTTTGGAGAAACTGGACAGTTTTATTGATGAGGGTCAGGTACGTGGGCGGGACAAGACCCGTGCCCAGGCTTTATGTTTCTCCTCTGGCCTTTTGGGTGCAAACTTCTCTTGTAGTTTCTTCCACACGCTCTTATTCATCTCCTGAAACTCTTCCAGGGTGTCTGTGGACAGGATCAGCTTGTATTCTTCCACGGACAGGCCACTGAAGCTGGTTTCTCTGGGGCGAGGGTACTTGTGTTTATAGTAGTTTGAATGCAGTCGTGCTAAGCTTTCGTACATCTGATCACAGGCCTCAGGTTCTGCCACCTGGGTGTTCTCTCCCTCCCGAAAGGCCTGTGCTACCCGCTGCCGCAGGTAAGCGCCCAAGTCCCGGCCCCGGCCCCGTTTGGTCTCGTCCACTGGCCATTCCTCACAGAGCTTAAGGAAACGACGGTAGCGAAGAGCGGCCATCTTGGGCCCCCGACCATGAATTTTTTTAAAGTAAAATAAATGTAAAGAATGATAAAATGATATTACACCCTTCCCTACTCACAGGCAGGAGAGTCTGTTGCTATAGATTTCCCAGCTTAAAAAGCAGACATTTCACCATATATAAATAATATATAAATNTTTGTGGGGGTTGGAGAGATGGCTCAGAGGTTAAGAGCCCTGGCTGCTCTTCCAGAGGTCCTGAGTTCAATTCCCAGCAACCATATGGTGGCTCATAGCCGTCTATAATGAGATCTGGTGCCCTCTTTCTTGCGTGCATGCATACAAGGTGTCAGAGTGTTGTATACATAATAGATGAATCTTTAAAAGAAAACAATGAGCTCGGGATGGAAGCATCACCTTTACCTTTTAGGACCTAAAAGATTGAAAATTATGGGTTAGAAAACTCAACAGTTAAAAGAGGCTGTAATTGTGTTAATTATACAAGTATATTGTAAGTGATTATTGGTTCGCTTTTATTCACTAATAAACGTTATTTGTGTGGTTCATTCAAGATGTTGTGGTTCTTTTAAATTCCTATTAATAGTGTTCACATTAAAATTTATTTGGGGTCAGTAATACTAGGACAGCCTGAACTTACCCGAGGCCAGGTGATTAACAGTTACAATCTAGAGCTCTAGTTAGGTGCGGCCAGCAAATGAGATGTTTGTGCAAAGAAGCATGCACATTTTTGAAAGTTGAATAGAAGATATTAATGATAATATCAAGCAAGTCTCTAAAATGATCTGATCCAGCAGTCGGGGATAGAGAACCTTTAACAACTACTTTTCTCCTGATGGACACCATAAGAAGCATTCTAGAACTTAAACATGCATGGCATGATAAGAACCATTGGGATGATAGTATGGACCCAGAAAATCTTCAAAACAAGGAAAAAAATGAACAAAGAGCATGGTCAACATAGAGTGACATTCGTTAGTCCGTATTTCTGATCCTGAGGAAGTGTCATGATTTTTAAATGCACCATTCTTGGGGCAATCAGGTGGTAAGGGTACCTGCCACCAAGCTTGGTGACTTAAGTTTGGGCCTCCGGATTCACATAGTGGAAGCACTGAAATGGCTTCAGCTGGCGGACAATGATCTTGTACCCTGTAAAGGTTTCTCACGTGTACTGGTTTAATAAAATGCCAATTGGTCAGTAGCCAGGCAGGAAGTATAGGCAGGGCGACCAGAACAGGAGCATTCTGGGAAGAGGACTCAGTCTGCAGTCGTTATTCAGACACAGAGGAAGCAGATGAGAATGCCTCGCTGATAAAAGGTACCAAGTCTCATGGCTAACAAAGATAAGAATTATGGGCTAATGTAAGTTATAAGAGTTAATAATAAAGTGTGGAATATATACGCATTAGAGTACTACTCAGTGGTAAAAGACAATGACATTTTGAATTTTGCATGCAAATGGATGGAAATAGAGAACACTATCCTGAGTGAGGTAACCCAGACCCAAAAAGATGAATATGGTATGTACTCACTCATTAGTGGATTCTAGCCATAAATAAAGGACATTGAGCCTATAATTCATGATCCTAGAGAAGCTAAATAGGAAGGTGTGCCCCCCCCCCAAAAAAACATGCAGTTATCCTCCTGGATATTGGAAGTAAACATTTAACTTTTTAAAGTAAGGGGTTTCTAATTGAATAATTGCCAGTTATTTTATGAGCGTGATTGTACTGTGAAGTTATTGTAGTTCCTTCAGATAAAGTGTTGTATCTATACCAGAATTTGTAGGATAAAATTATTGTAGGCCCTTCAGAAAAAAAAAAGTGTCGAATCTACAGCAGACTTGCCACTCACCGGAGGTAGAGACTATCACAAATCACTATTGTGGCATTGTGGTGCATGCCTGTATGACCAGAATTTAGGAGGCTCAATTGTAGAAGTTAGAGACCTGCTGAGGCAACATAGTGAGCAAAGAGAGAGAGGAAAAAGAAAGAAAGGGAAGACAGAGGCAGCCAGAGAAAGTGTGGTAGAAGGGAGCTATTTGCTCGGGAAAACATACTGTTTAGTGTTGTAAATTTGTATTACATTTTATTTATTTATATTTCTCTCTCACACACATCATGTACATACACACATACACGTGTGTACACAAACATGCATTCTCTCTCTTTCTCTGTCTCTCTCTCACACACACAAACACACTCACTAAAGGTCAGAGGACAAGTTGGGGAAATCAGCCCTCTCTTGTCACTATCTGGGACCGTCATCTGCAGAGCTATCTCAGCCTACCAAACCAGTTTTCGTGACTCACCCAATACTTTTCATTCCTTTTTCCCATCCACAACTGTGGATTTCAAACACCACCAAAAGCAGTTGTCTATCTAATGTGATTCTTTTACAGCAAGGACAGTGTCACTGCACCATAGGCAGCTTAGAGGAAGGAACATTCAGAAATGCATCCCCATAAATGCCCAATGTTGTCCTTTTCCAGGTGATATTGAAATCCAATAATTGTAACTTCTTGTTGTTTCCACTCTGAACTATGGGATTTTTGTACAAATAAAAGTTTCAGGAACCTCTCATGCTGTGATACCTTTAGGTTCAAAAGTCAAACATTATCCAACAAAAAATCCCCACATTTGGTTGAAGAGATGGCTCAGAGGTTAAAAGTACTGGCTGTTCTTCCAGAGGACCCAGGATCAAATACCAGGACCCATGTGGCAACCCACAATTATCTGTAACTATAGTCCCAAGAAATTGTACACCCCCTTCGGACCTCTGAAAGCACCAAGGACATACATACGTGCAGGTAAAACATCCATACACATAAAAAGAAATTTAAAAACTTGAATTCCCATAATTGGCTCTCATTTTCACCTGACATACACAAACAAAAAAGTTATTTCTTCTCTTGGTAACTTGGTAGGTGGGAAAGTAAAACTGTGAAAACTTTCACATAATGTATGAGGGCTTCCAGAGACATTACACTATTTTAAAAAATCATACAGATTTCAGCAAATTACTGTCTTCTTCAGTTTAGGTTTTAAATGTTTACTACTACTATTACTACTACTACTACTACTACTACTACTACTACTACTACTACTACTACTACTACTGGGTGTGGGTGTGGGTGTGGGTGTGGGTGTGGGTGTGGGTGCACGCGCTCCTCTGTGGCCCGGGAACATTTCTGGAGGTTAAAGGACAGCTTGCAGGAGATGGTTCTTTCTTTCCACCGTGTGGGACTCAGGTCATCAGATTTGGCATTAAGTGCCTTTATTTGCTGAGTCATCTCGTTACCTCACTGGCCTCAAACTAGTTTTTTTGTTGTTTTTATTTTTAAACAATCTTTTTTATTTTCGTTCCCTCTCCTTCCATTCCTCCTGCTCCCCACACCTTCTCCCGCAACACCCTGCTTGCACCTGGAGGTGAGTGTCTGGGTACATCCCGAGCACCACCCCCACCCACTGAAGGCCCAGAGACCTAGCAGCAGCCTCCCCTTATCCCCAACAGTAGTAGCCAGTGGCACCGGACTGGAGCCTTGGCCCCACCTGCACCTGGAGGAGGTGGGTGTCTGGCCTCCCAGCCCTGCTCTGTAGGCCCTAGCTTCC